CCATATACCTGAAACCAATGACCACCATACAAATTGTGTTTAACAAATGGCACCTTCATGTTCAGCCTCACACATTTGTTAGGATAGCTCTACAAGCATATATTCTTAATCTTTTTGGTTACCTGAGCCTTTGGCATCACGATGAGTGAATGAATGAGGGGGAGAGGAGAGCTTTAACAGGATAGTATAACAATAAAGAGATATATGGGCAGTGTAGAAAAAGAAAGGTTAGTTAGGGAGATTGAATGGTCCTGGGAGGCTGGAGGGGGGAGAGGGAGGGGGAGAGGAATGAGGGGAAAGCCCTTTGCTGACTGTTTATTTCTGCAGAAAACCAATTTTCCCTCAGGGATAATTAAAGTTTTCACTAATAGTAAAAAATAAGATTGTGGTGACAGAAATAAGCAGATTAATGGTTTGAAAATCAGTTTGTGATGCCACATTATCCATCTTGGTTTGACTGTCTGACTCAGAGCATTTATCACTGCTGTTGTTCCAGCTGAGTTGCTCCACGTCCAACTGCCTGAATCAGTTACCAGCAGGTACAAAACATTGCAGAGCATTCTGCTTGTGGCAACAGTGGTGAAAGGTCATGTGAAACACTGTCCCTAAAGACTTGTGGAAAGTGTTCACATATGCTTTCTATTATAATCTTGGAGATGTGACTGACTTTCTAATGTGCCAAACATAAACATCCTTATTGAATCAGCTCCAAAACTGCCTGCCTTCTGTTAAATGTAAAATATGATTGGATAGTTAAGATGTACCAATACCACCACAAGGCTAAAATTGTTATTACACCCCATACAAAAGTGCACAAACAGGCATTTTAACTGTTCTGAGATGTTCAAATAACACTATGCAAAAATACTCTTACAAGAACAAATCTGATGTGAAGATGTAGCTTTTTGCTTTTGCTCTACTGCCAGCATCAGAATGAACAGCTCTGTATTTATGTTATGAAAGAAAGAAATGTTGTATGTTCATCGACTTATCTCCGGTGGTCAGCAGCTCAACATGGAAAGTTATCAGGATAGTTGGCTCTCTGTTGTGGAGAACTTCTTGTCACCACCTTTGCCCATTGCTGCTGAGTTAACTGATGCAATGAATCAGACCACTTTGACAGAGAGGAAAATGATCTTGACCAAATTGTTTTTGGAGTGAAACCAGTTTAGCATGTTCAAGACAATAGCCTTACTTCTGTCATCAGGATTATCTGATTACGTCCCTGTTGTTCCGATCAGGTAAGAACACGGAGTAAGCTCAATGAGTGTCAGTCCAGATTCTGATTTGCAAAGCCTGACTTGCAAAAGGAACCACATCCTTCTCCTTATTACCCATAAATACTCAATTTGAGGGTTGTTTACTGGCTTTGGTTTGAAATATGTTCTCTCTCCTGTACCACAGCTCTGTTGGCAGAGGCCTGTCAGCATGTTTATTTCCCGCTGCCAAGTTCCAACAGTAACGTTCCCACCAAGGAAAAAAAAGGAAAACAGCAAAGGTCAAATAAACCACTTATGCTGGGTGTGAATGCACATGACTAACTCCATCAGCTGTTTCTAGTCCATTGTTGAGCTGGAACTGTGGCTCTTATACATGGTAACCAGAAAGCCTTGTTAAAACTTCAGCCGTAATGCCATTGTGTGACATAGACCGAGGCTTGTAACTATGACAGTGGACAACTATGACACCCTCACCCACCCCATCCCATGTTATCCAACACAAACAAACCCAGAGAGTAGGCTTGTGGTCGCTTAGCAACAGCAGAGAGTAACAGCCATACTGGCAGAATCAGCTCTTGGGTGTGGATCCATATTCGGTGGAAAAGCACAAAGTGGGATTTAATTTAACATCACGTGGTTCATCAGGAAGAAGCGTTGAGAGACTGTCTAAAGGAGAGCAGGTAAGAGCATTCACAGAGTTTTTATCATTGTGAGAGATTAGCTGAAAGGCAGTGTAATGAACTGTAACCCATAACCCTACACACACATGCTTTCAGTTAAAACGCTCACGATAACCCTGCTTGTCCAAGTCACCGAAATTGCACGGCCCAATCATTTCCAGAGGCTGGGCCTTCTGTTTCTCTTTAAAATGTGTCAGGCTGTTAAAAAGTGGGCTTGTAAAAAAGTGCTAGCTGTGTGAACTGTTGAGCAGTGTTGTCCCAGGATAGAAAGACTGTCTGTCAAAGACACAGACTTATCCCCCAATTAGTCAACCAGTCCATTAATAGTGTACTGACAGTGTAACAGTCTGTCAGTCTGAGGGCTTCGCTCTCATTTCAGCAGGTTTTTTATATCAGGATTCTGTGCCAGTTGGGAATTTTTGGACTGTGTTTGGGTTTTGGATTTTTTTTTGTCTAGCTCTACTTCCTGTCTAGTTTTCCTCATTTGTGACAATCCGCCCCACCTTGATGTCTTTCATCTGTGTTCAGCTTACATGGTGTCAGTTTGTCTGTTCACCTCTTGGATATTGTGCTTCAGTGTTTTCTAGTTTGTTCCTGTTGCTTTCTGTAGTTTTTTTTTTTTTAACAGGTGGCTTTATTACATTTTCACATCTTATTTGCCTTGCCTGTTCAAAACAGTATGACAATATAGAGTTGATGAGATTACTGTAACTTCTGCTGAGCAAATAAATGTACTGCTTAGAATTTACGTTACCCCAATTTTTTTTTTTTAAATTCACAGAAAATCGCATTTAACCTCTTCAACAGTTTTGGGTAAGATAAACTTTTAAACTCTTGCCATTTCACAAAGAAGGATGTAGAAACAGATCATTGTCATACTATATTTTCTTTCCTTAAATCATATGTATCTATATTTCCTTTTACTCATCATGTGTGCAGGTATTTAACTGGGTAGCAAGCTACAATGCAACTGAAACAGCTGAGAAAAAATAAGGTTAAAATATAGGCTAAAATTATTATAAGGTATGTTGTTGTCAACAATCTAATAATAATAGATAGATAAATCAATCAGATCAGAAACTTTAAGCCTGTACATGTTTAAATCACTGCACCTCTGCATGCTTTAGTGTGATTACATTACATTAGCAACAGTAATGTTGATAAATGATGAACCAATATATCCACATCACCACACTTAAAGTTATATTTTACAACCAAGCATGCACACAAGAGACTGGCCACATATTGCAAATGTCATAAAATGTAACAAAAAAAAATACAAATAATAATTCATAAGGCCTAATTTACCCATGCCCTCCAAAATTGTAAATCAAGATTAATGTGGCATTCATTGAATCAAATAAACAATCCCTGCTGCCGCTGCTGCTTCTGCTGCACTGTACAATGTGTAACCTCAGTGCCTTTACTTAGCCAGATATTCTGTGACCTCCATTTACCATGAAGTATGGTATTAGTATGGTATTAAATAAATAAAACAGACATTGTACTTCATTGATCTTTTACCAATGTGAGTGCATCGTTGACAGACTATTGATAAGGTGGTTTAATGAAAATTAAAATAATATTCATTGTATGCTTTGGGTTTTACTGTAACTAACACATCCCAAACAAACCAGCTTAATACTTAACACTCCTCATGTCATTAATAGACCCAATGAGGGAAGATCCTTGAATACTGTACATCCCTTCAGCAGCCTTACAAAGACAAAGTGTTTTTCTGTAATTTTTTTCTCACCCATCTCTATGTAAAGGCTGTACTGACTGTAGATTTACCAAAAGGATCTTCCTGTATGCAGAGAGGAACAGTCAGACCATGTGGTTGACACATTATGCGAACATACTGAATCTGGTGTAAATCCTGGTTTCACTTAGTGGATGCAAACAACTGCCAGTTTTTTTTTTCAGCACCGTAACATTAAATTCAATGCAGATTCTGCCCTGATACTTTGAAGTAGTCTTTTTTATTTAATACGTTCATTCTACAAAAAACACAGAGCACACCCCATTGAAGATCCAAGGCATGGAAAATGCTTCACTTTTCACCTATCAACTCAACAGTACAAAGTAGCTCATTGTATGGGAGTTGTGCTGTTTTGATTATTTGTGCTGTTTTGATTATTTGGCCGCTGTGACATCGGAGAGAGAGAGTGGGTAGTCGACTGAGCAAAGGGTCAGTGGTTCAATCACTGACTCCTCCAGGCCGTATGACGAACCACCAAATTACGCCTGATGGCTGTGCCAGAATTGTATCAATGGTGTGTGATAGAAAAGGTATAGAAACGCTGTGTTAATGGTTGAATGTGAATTCTAAGGCACTTTGAATTGTTGATAAGACGAGAAAAGCACTATATAGATAAAGTCCATTTACTATTTTATCAATTTACTTACTGACAGCTCACTGACTGTGGATCATTTGTCCCTGCAGGTAACCATGTTGGATGATTGACAAATGACAGGGGCAACCATCAAGCTGAGGGTGGTACAGACGAAAGTATGTATGTCCACAGCAAGCACAGGACAAACCTTCAGTCCAAACCCTTTCATGAGAGCCCAGCCCTCACTCTGCTTCCATCAGGACCACGGTCCCGTGTAGGAACACGGCTTTCCTGCAGAAACTCTGAGCCTGCGGGCCTGCAAGGTGACTGCATCTGTCTGTCTCTGTGCACAGAACCATTCCACATCAGTATGACAAGTCACTTTATCTTGTGAGATTTGTGGGTTTCTGTCTTAGCATGCATTTCATGTGTCATTTCATATTTTGTCATTTTGTGAACTCTGTGTAATTTTGTCTCATGTCACTTTTTGTGATTTGATTTAGTTTTGTGTCATTGTGTAATTTGTCATTGGGTTGTTTCTTAACATTCCATTTTCTGTTGTTTCCCTTTACTTTGTGTTTTTTTTCATAGCATGTTATGTCGCAGCTCTGTCTGTGTCTTGTCATTTTGATTTGTGTCATAGCATGCATTTCATGTGTCATTTTATATTTTTTGATTTTTTGATTTGTTGTTTTCTCTAATTTCAGCGATCCAGCTTTATTTCACTTGCTGTCTTGTTATTAGTCTGTGCTGTATCATTTTGTTGTTGTGTCCTTTCATAAACAAATGATATGATAAATAATATAATTATTATGATTCCTTTCACAGTGCAGGGGTTTGGCTGTCCCCTCCAGCAGAGGCCCTGCAGTGGCAGGGTGACACCTCAGAGCAGAGGGGGAGGGGATGGGAGACTGATGCTGCTGAGCAGTCTCAAGGGAAGGCTGGAGAGCAAAGCAAAACCAGTGGCAAGGGCCAGGACCGGAAAGAGAGCTGTGGAGAGCCTTCAGGCTGGAGCTGCCACTGTTTGCCACCACAGAGATCCAGTCAGTGACACAGCAGGTGAATGGCATTGCACCACCACCACTACTACCATGACACAACTTTGACACACAATCGATATTATCTGAATACTACAGCTCCACAGTTCCGAAGCTTAGTGCTTATAATCTCATTTTGAGTTTGGATTATCAAAACCAAAGTTTACAAAGAATACAGCAACAAACACAACATACATATAAATATATATATACATACATAAACCAGAGGCCTGGGAGTTTGAGGGTTCTGCACAGTATCTCTTCTGGATATATCCGACTTCAGATGTTGTACCTGGAATCTGCTGGAACCACTCTCCCAGTTTAGGGGTCACAGGAGGTCCACTTTGGACTTCACCATCCACATCGGTTCCTGTTATTCTTCTGGTACTTCTCCATCTTCTTGTGCTCCTTCTTTCTGACGATACTGTCAGCTGGGATTGCTACATTTTCCACCACTGCCCTCTTATGCTCCTTGTCTACCTCCACTACATCTGGTAGATCAGCCAGCAGCTGTTTGTCAGTGTGGAATATGAAGTTCCACAGGATCATACCTCTGGTATGTCCCACTGGGACTTTACTGCTTCTAACCCATACGCCTCAGTGTACACTGTCCCAGCTTGCATCTTACACCTACTGTACGTGCTACTATGTGCTGGATTGTTTCAGGGGCATAGCATAAACAAAATCTGAATGCATTTTAGGTTTCTTGCTGTTAAAGGGAGTTTTTTCTTTCCACAGTCAGTGTTCGCTCATTCTGGGAAATGTTGACTTTCTCTATAATATTATTAATTTCTCCACATTTGTATGGTGCCTTGGGATAATGTGGTTTGAATTAAATTAAACTGGTATCATATGAAGCAAGCTTAGTTTACACCCATTCACACACACATCGATACAGTGCGTCAATGTGCATAACTTTATTCTATGAGAATGGGTAATTTTTGGGCTCAGTATATCATGCCCAAGGTCCCTTCAGCAAGCAGCTGGGAAGACTGGGATCGAACCGCCAGCATTCTGGTTTGAGGAGGACCCCCCCCCCCCCATGCACACTACACGATACTTCCATCTGGCTACAGGTTCCCATAATCATATCCAGGGATCATGCATGATTGAATTTGTCTTTTAGCTTTGTGCAGGAACAGCTGTGCTTATTTGTGGTACCTCGAACAAATAATCCAATTTCATTGCCAATTGACATTAAAGTTTGTCTGTTGCATTCCTTCTGTATTACTTGGAATGTGGGCAGTGGATGTTTTTGCTGCAGTTTGAGTAATTGCCTTTTGGATATCCACAAGTGATAAGCAGACACAGTTGTTCAGATGTATCCATATATCACCCAGTCCCAGCTTGTTGTGTTTGGATTGTTGGCAAGCTGTAAATGACATCTGCGGCAAGGATGTGACTGAATTCAAAGCAACATCTGACTGCGACTCTTCTCCTCCCAGAAAATCCCATAACTCCATGGAACAATGAGAGAAAGGCTGGTGACGGACAGCCCGGCGCCGTGAGGGTTTCAAAACTTCATCTGTATCTGCCTTCAACACGTTGTGAGGATTTGGACCAGGACTCGCAGACAGAGGAGATAAGGTACAAGTTCTTAATGCTGATTATCGGGACACATGCTGTTGCAAGTCATAGGAAGGCAGACATCTGCATCAATTTCACGAACTGTGCCTTAGACAACATCTTTCACGTCACAACTGTGGTTTTCACCCTTGTCTCCAGAAACTACAGCAGAGCTCCAAAACAGGTCTCAGAAGTGATGTCATTTGGAGGGTGTGGAGGCAAAAAATATTTTCCCAAGCAATCACAACAACTGCAGTGCATGTAAAGGCCCATGCCCACTGTGCCTAAATGGAATCTGGTTTATCTCTGGAATCAAGCAACAACAAAACAAAACAAAAACTGAAAGAGGATGAAGTTACAGGATATTCTGTAAAAAGAAAACAACCCTATCATACTCAACTGTACACATGGATGAACACAGGGATGTTGTGCAGGAGGGTGAACCCAATAAATCGTGTGTAGTTTACAACCTTTTCATACATAGCAATTATTTTAGACTTAATCCGTGTTAGTATAATTACAACAAACAGGGTTTAAACAAGAAAAATATAAAATATTTACTTACAGTCAATAAAGGGGCAGTGGGTCCCAGTCTTTCCAATTCCACATTCCAAAGGGTCCTCTGGCAAGATGCTGAACCCCGAATGGCCGAACAAAGAAGTGCTGCTAATAGATGCACTGTATGAATGTGTGGGTGAATGCCAAACTGTACTGTAGAGTGCTTTGAGTGGTCACCAAGACTAGAAAAGCTCTATATCAATACAAAACATTTACCATTAAATGGCACAATAATAAAGTGACGCATTCACTGAGAGTTTTGCTCAGTGGCAGTAGGAGAAATGTCTCTGGTTCATCCCCCGCAGGACATTGATGTGTTCAATAAATGTTTTGGAATCCTACCAGTCATATCAAAAGATAATGAAAACTTTGACCAGACAAAAGGAGAGCCAGGAGTTTCCATAATCACTGGGGAATGTTGTATAGCCACAGAATATTAAAGTCCAGAAGTCTAAACACAGACATGTACACTTCGCAGGAGTTATTTGGAATTATTATATTATTACTTTTTAATTAGAGTAGAACACTATAACATAAAAGAATAAAGGTTCACAACCCCATGACAGTGAGCCACTATGAACAGCATGGACCCTGAAGTTGAAGCAACTAAATCAAATTCAGCCATTAAAAAAAACTTTATTTAAACAAACACTTTGGTGCCGTCTTTTTTAAATGTTAAGATTTGCAAATTGACTTTTTTCCTTGACCTTTCATGTACATGAGCACCCATAAACAAATGCACATAACTTCTTCATGTTCATTTAAAAGGATTCAAAGCTAAATGAAACAGAAATGTCATTAGTGAGTTAAAGTTTGTGTGGGTTTTAACCTCAATTCAGCAGGTAGCTTAAGTAAAGTTGTGTGTTTTATCAGCAGCGAGAGTTCAACATCCATTGTTTTGGAATGAACTTTATGACACTTTCTGTGTCCAGTGTTTAGACAAGGTCACTGACATAAAAAAGAGATGTTATTTTTGTGTTCTCCTTGTAGGCCTTCAGCAGACAATCCTCATGTTCAAGAACCTGATGTCAAACCAAACAACACAGGAGACCAGCGTGCAGCACTTCACAGCTCACCACAATCACCCTCTGATGACATCACAATGGAGGACTCATAAGATGTGAAGAACAGAGGACAGAGGGGCCCAGAGCAGTAAACAGATTGAGCCAATCTGCCCATAAAGAGCCTCCACACAGAGTGGACAAAACAGTGTGATGAGAAACAGGCCTGAGCTGATAAGGCCTGCAGCTGTCCACAGATATGGGCCCCGCGAGGGTTAAAAATATGAGCTCCATAATGAGATGGTGTTGGAGTAAAGGGATGCCTTCATACAACTGATGTGCTTGTGCAACAAACACTACTATTAGTGGAACAGGTGTGTTTGTTTCAAAATACAAACTGGGAAGAAGGACACAGAAACACACTGGGCCCAGAGCAGCATGTGAATAGACGTAAAGAAAGAGAAAGACTTAAAGAGAATATTTCAAATTCAACAAGTGCCCAAAGAGATACATTTATTTAAAACACACAATGAACAACTTCCAGTATCTGACAATAAATCCCTGTAATCGTAATGGTTTGTCCCAACTCTCTCATCAGTGGCTGTCTGAAAGGCAGGGACAAAATAATCAACCGTCAGCAAAAAGAAACGAGGCTACACACACTAACACTAACGTTTCAGAGGGTGATTCACACTGTAAGGAAAACAGGGGAATGTTTTAAATGACTAAACACTCAAGACAAAACTGGTAATCAAAGGAGAATCATTTGCAAATGTTAATTGCTGTGATCACGTGGAAAATACATGCACATCATTTACAGTAGTTTACAATACTATATGAACAAAATGACAGAGTGTGAGTCTGTCACTTTCAGCAAACTGTAAAATCAATCCATGCTCTTTTCCCTCCAGGGGACATGACAGCTTCCGGTCAAGAAACCTGGCCTGTGTAGACGTCCTGCATTATTTCAGAGGTGTGGAGCTTATCGTTCACAGCGTGTCGTGTCTGCGTAGCGTCTTGTTTCAGAGCCTCTCTCAGTACAGAGGTAGCAGATCATACACCACACACTGTGCTCCGGAGAGATCTGGACTCCGCTGCTGCTCCGAAAAGGCCTCAGTGCACAGGAGCCTGTCGCAGATGAAAACCAAAGTCACCCTTTCAGCTCATGCCACACATGTGAGTAACTCACAACAAACAAAATGATAAACGAAAGAAAAGAATAGCCTAAAAAAAAAAAACAAGTCAATATGATATGTGAGAAGAAGAGATAAGGTGAGAATTCTAACTAACCAAGTTATAATAATGAAATCATGAAAATAAAAGATCGAAATCATGAGTAAATTAAGGACAGAACTCTTCAAAGCTGGTCCAGTAGTCATTATTATGACTACTACTGTGGTATCTCAATGAAAATCTTATTATAGAGTGTCTATGTAAAATAAATGTCTTATTATTTGGACCAAGTAATTTTGACTCACCATGTGTATTTTAATTTATCGTACTTTCACCATCCTCTGGCTTCCATACAAACCAGGTCATATAATGAGCCCAATCAGACAAATGCCCATCAACACAGAGAAAAACACCATATAAAGAACTAGTTTAGTCATTTGGGGAGAACTTGAATGGTCAGTAAATGGGGAAGGGTCTCTACAGATGTAGAATATAGAGCTTTAGTCTTAATGACCACTCACTGACAGTACAGATTTGTTATTTACCCATTCACACACACATTCATACAGTGCATCTCTCCCAGCACAGCCATCAGGAGCACTTTGGGGTTCAGCATGTATATCGGGGGAGACTGTAATCGAACTGCCAACCCACACATTGTAGTGCCACACAAATCCCTATGACAATTGCTGTGGATGTGCATGGTCCCCTGAAGCTGAACAGTAATGGACCACTGTGACCTTTTCTTCTCATGCAACAAGATTCATATCTCTGCTTGTTATATTTCCTTGTGTGTGCCATATTATCTATGTTGTACTCATTACTATGCAGCAGAAAGACTTTCAGTCTTAAAGATCCCATGGACATTCTTTTAATACCTAAACTATGATGTGTACATAAAATAATGCACACTAGAATGAGCTGCCTGCTCTAACATTACTGAGCTCCCCCACGGTTTTCATTAACATTACCAAGGATAAAGTATGCAGCAGCACTGAGGGAGAGGATGATGAGGAAGATGGTGCCTAAACCCAGATCCCCCATGGTACAGGCATTCGGACAAGCACAGGGGCTTTCCACCCAGATCTGCAGGGGCTCCTCAGTGCTGAGCCTCTGGTCCCGGATAAAGGAAGTGGACTGATTTGGATTACAGTGGTAATGCACCACCGTCAGTGGCTGCTTCTCATCAGCTGGGACAGGAGGAGAAGAAGACTGGCTGTCAGGTTGCACCATACTGACAGAAAGTTCAGTAACATATAGTATATGATGACTTTGCTCACCAAAGTATGAAACAGAGAGCATCTTCAGGGTGTCATTGTAGTGGAATTCATTCCCTTCATGTCTTCCATAGCCAATACAGCGGTTAATGTATGTGTTGAGCCTTTGATACCTGTTAACACAGACATGAACATGAATAACATATCACATAAAAAGATTGCTTGAATTTTTTAGCCCCCAACAGATGAATAGCCTAATAATTATAATAACAAATTAATGCAGACACAAGTTTAGCAATCAAATTTGATTTGTATAGCCGTTTACTAATCACAATTTGTCTCATAGGGCTAAACAAGGTGTGACATCCTCTGCCCTTCAATGAAAGTCAAGAAAAACCACCAAAAAAAAGAGAAAATCCCCACATGTGAGGGATCCCTCTCCCAGGATGGACAGATGCAATAGTTGCCCCGTGTAGCACAGCACGTCGACAATATTTACAACATTGACAAAGACAGCCTCTAACTCTAATGGAGAGGTGAATAAGTATTTATAAAAAAAAGAAAATGTCCGACAGAATGAAGGGAGCAGCAGTAACAATTGTAATGATAGAGGTATTGATGTGAGCAGGCATATAGTATATCTTTTAATGATACAGTCTAATAACCTAATAAACAAATGTGTTTTTAAAACCCATTTAACAAAGACAGAATTAAGAATAAAACAAGCAATTACCAAACTCCCAAACATGTATGTTGTGTTTAGGGCCAGGGGTCAAAATGTTCTGAGGCCCATTTTCTCCCCGCCTCATCATCTCTCACACAGATACACAGATGCTGTCCACACACAGCGTATTATCCAAATATTTAAAAACCAGCTTTGAAAATATCTAAATGTGCATCTCAATCAATTAAAGTAAGTGAAACAAATAAATGTACCAGTTAAAACTCAGCAGCAGTTTTTTGTTTTTTCAATAATGGGAAGTTGCTTTGGATTTACAGCAGCCACATGGAAGTCTTCACTTTTCTCCGTTTGTGTGTTAGGGGGCCCCCTGGTGGCTCTTCAGCAGCTGCCTATAGATTGAAATAAATATAGCAGTTTGATCCCACTTAATCAATGAGATCCCAACCTGCACAAGTTTCACCTCACATTTAAATACATTAATCAGTAAGTCTGCTTAGACTGTCAACCGTCCAGAAGCATTTCGGGAGTGAAAGTATTGAACTATAATGATGAGTGCAGGATGAAAGAGGTTAAAGAAGGTCTGAAGGCAGCTGCTGCATTGGCACTTCGCCTACTGAAATAAAAACATCATCTCATCCACGGTCGGCAGTGGAGAGTACAGTGTTGTTTCTGGGTTAAAGGTGTATCTGAGTTGTTAAGAGTTCCAGCAACAAGTGATTTCACATCCAAACACTCAGGTGGTTCATAAAAACAACCACTCAAAACAGCAAAGAGAAAAAAAAATCAATCTCAAAATCAATCTTTCACCTTATTACTTTACAGATTTATCGTTGGCCCTTTTGAAGGGACCCCCCTCCTCTGGTTGTGAACCACTGGACTAAACATTTTGAATTATATAAGAAGCAGTTAAAACTAGCTGCACCTCAATTACCTATAGAAGTCAAGTGCATCTTAAATATTGTTAGATCCGTTTAAAAAATCAAATGATGTCATACAGCGTAGATTAGTCACAGTGTGACTGCATTTTGACTGAGCTGATAATACCTTTGAACTATTTTACAATGTGGTGTAGGTGCTTTATAATTTCCTCTATTTTGTCAAAAAGTAGAGTCACATGACTTTAAATATGTCAAGATTTATCATTACAAATTGAAAACGAGTGGCATCATCACTGAACTTTAACACTCTACAAGTGTAAATTACAGCCATAGACAATCAGACTTAAAAAGAATGAATTGAAAGATATAGACATTCTGTATTTAAGCCTCATGTAGCTGATGCCTCAACAGAGCAGAGGAGGCTATAGAATGATACTGAAGAGCGTCCAGCTGTTTCCACTGTCCTGTGTCAGTTAAAAGGAACTGTGGACGTCAAGACAAGAATGTGGAAGACCATGAAAACTGCCAGATAAACTGCACATCTGCTGGGCAGGCAATTCCAAACTACATATGCCTGCAGAGGAGCTGCAGGCAGGTTTGTCTGTCACAGAAGTGGCGGAGCAGGGCTCCCCTGCGTGGACTGGTGCACGTAAATGGTCAGGAGGGAAACCTCACCTACAACCACATGACAAAATCAACATCTATTAGGAAACTTCATCCAAGGTCTATGACAAGGAGTGGCATGTGATGAGAACACCATGCCAACTGTAAAGCATTGTATTAGGCTGCACTCCCTTTTATCATATCCAGATATTCTGCTTTGGGAGCAGGCAGGAGGCAGAACACTGGCACAGGAAACCCTGTTCAGACATAGAGAACAGAAGGATTCCACTCAATGTTGTTCAGTCAGTCAGGAAACTGTGAGGGAGGAGAGACTGATTTCTGCTACAGGACAAAGAAAGGTCAAAGAAAAACCTCAAAATCCACCATCAACTGCTTTAAGAAACACAGACTGAAGGTATCTGTTTCCTCCTGAACTACATCTGTTTCAAACTACACTGACCCGCTTTAGAGAATGACAGGTTTTTTTAATCAATCCATAAACAGTATTTTGACCTGTTTTATTGAGATTGTTTTAGGTTAAATCCCCAGTGAGAATGAGACGGTCAAGATAAGACATTGCAAACGTGTTTTCAAAGCATTAGGTGTTTAAAATAATCATAGTGAGACGTGTAAATGAGATAGTTAAGGCATTCAACAAAGTCTTCAGTGACAGGGTTTGAATCTGTAAAGTGACACAGTCATATAATGTGAATCCCAGCATTACTGTACCTGATGATGAGACATGCAGCAGTGTTGGCACAGTCCTCTCCTGTCAGGTCCTCTGGCTGTGAGAAGGGCTGACAGGGGCTGAACGACAGGAGGATCTCAGTGTCGACGGGGATGTTCTCACCCGACAAAGGCTTCAGTTGCCCCAGGAAACCGTCTGCGTCCCCCATTGCGTTCAGGTTTATCACCCCACTCCCATCCTTCATGATGCATTGGCAGTTGTTGACTTTGAAGCAGCCTGACTTCTTTGCGGAGCTTGGATGAGGAGCGAGAGACGGAGAAAACATGCAAAAACAAAGTGGCAGTGTGAGCAAGACGCTCTGGACACTCATGGTGACAGAGCACCAAAGCAGAGAGTATAGTGACTGCGCTGTTAGGAAACTAAAGAGCAGCTGACAGAATGGTGATGGTAGGAAAGTAATTAGAATAACGGTGACTGTCATTCCAGACATTCCCAGGACCCACTGTGCTCACACATGATGCCCCCACAATCCAAGAAGGTATAAGAATTAGCTCCAGTGAAAACTGTTAGACAGACAGACATTCTCAGTTTACACATTCTCAGTTCTTATTATCTTAATTATCAGTATCAATTTCAGGAAGCAACAGAACATACAACAGTCAAAGATAAAGATGCAAAAGTGAAAGGTGTTTGCATTCATTAACTACAGTGCTGTAGTTTGTGCTCTCTCTTGTTATCATTATTATCATTAGTAGTATGGGGCAGCATGGTGATGCAGTGGTTAGCACTGTTGCCTTACAGCAAGATGGCTCCAGGTTCAAATGTTCATTCATTTTATTGTGATACACACATTAACATCCAAAAAACAGCTGCGAAGCACTTCTTTGGCACTAATAAAAATATATAGTGGATCAATGGGGTACTTCAGCAATTTATATACAACAAGATGAAATTGACCTGTCTAATATTTTGTTGTCCCCTCGTACCACGAAAGCAGCTCAATCCATTGAGGTATGGACTCAACAAGACTTGTGGTATCTGGCACCGAGATGTTAGCATCAGATCCTGTAGATCCTGTGAAGCGAGGCCTCCAGACTTGTTTTTCCAGCACATCCCACAGATGCTCGGTCAGATTGGTCATTACATCAGTGGAATCAATGTTAATCATGTCATGTTTTGGCTCATTTGTGTGGTTCAAGACCCACATTTCCCATAATAGCTCCTCCAGAAATACAGGAGACATCATAAAACTGTTTTCATAGACTAGATAATTATTAATATTATAGGTTCTTCTTCTTATTATCACTGGGTATAAATAATGGATGGGTGAATTATTTATTATCAGCATTGTTAGCATTTTTAATTAGTGTTGCTATTATCATATAATAGCTGTTTTTATTAAAATAGTAATATACTTTACTGGGAGTTGACAGTGCTAAAATACACCTGAAAGAACTGCACTTGACAATCTACCCTGAGCACCACATATCAAGTTGTCATGTCACCTATTTTAGGTATTTATGATCCCAGGAGGTTTAACATCAGTGTTCGTTGGGTTTGTTCGATGAGTAATCTCAGCACCCTGTGTTTCTCTTGGTAATTTGTTCACAACCTTTGAGACGAAATCACAATGTGACTTTTTTTTAAATGAGTTGAAATCCAAACAAAAACACAATAAATCAAGAGGCTCTGCCTAACAGTTCACTTTGTTGTGCAGTGGATCATACAGTCTGAAATTAAAGTGTTTTATCATAATGCAGAGTGCAGAGTCCCCTAATGTTCCACTATAGCAGCACCATCATCAAGTGCCACTTATATGAAAGAACTTTTGTATTGAATCAATCCTGGTAATTTTGTATAATTGCTCTTATTTCAATATATATATGCTGTAGCAGTCTCTGAAACATTTCTTCTGACAACTATTTGATTGCACTGACAGAACAATGCTCTACAATGCTAAAATTCAAAATCAGTCATTCTAAAAATGGCCACAATTACAAAAACGTATAAATGTGTCAGTGATAAGAACAAATATCCCGATGTGTGGATGGATTACATTTAAAATAGTGAGTTTCCCAGTATGGAGTAATTTTAGTTTAGTAGTTAAGATAACTTTATATAAACAATGGTATATAGATTTTATTCCCATAAAATTAAAACTGTAAGGCTTTGTTAAGTATCGGTGTCAAAAATATGAAGTGACATGTACGACAGCCTGTCATCTTTGTTCAAATGTATTAAGAACATTTTGAAGTCAGTGGCGGTCTGATTTCCAAATATTAAATAATCCACAAAGTTTAAATGTTAAAAAGAAGTACTAGGCTTTCTCTGTGAGAAATGTCATCTTGGTTAACACATCCATACTTTACTGTTTAATGTCTGGATTGAAAAATCTATCTACATTTATCATGTGCTGCCCTCCTGTGGCTGGCTGTGTAAGCAACAGGAAATTGTGACATCATCCATTCAAGCCCTTCATGTAATTCAGATTCATGATTGATATCGTCCTTTATTCAGGATCTGTAGCAGGCTCTTCCAGTTCTACACTAGTCAAGACAATGCAAACACACTCTAATTCCTGAGTTTTCCCTGATTTGATCAATCCAGACACAACAGCTGCTGTAGCTAATCCTTGAATTGTTCTTCAGGAAGATTAACCTCAGAATGTGCATGTCCTGCTGAACAGACCTGGGGCCAAAGCCACAACATTGAAAAGTGTCCTTAGAAAATATTGAAACCAGCCCCTGATGGCTGAAACCACAGTGAGTCAGTGCTTCCTACAGAATATCTGTGTTTGTGTATGAATGCAGCTTGTACTGAAAAGCACTGAGTGGTTGACAAGAATAGAAAGGCACTTAATAAGCACAATTAATTTACCGTTGATGCTTGTCGAGGAAATACTACACAACAGACCGTCTTTTACACAGATTTTATTTTGTCAAAACAAAAAGCATCTAAGCTTTGACTGCGAATTTGCGAATGGAGTAGAGGAGATCCTTCCTCTGCTGTTTCTTGGTCCGCAGAGACTCTTCATGCTTGTTGAGCCGGCGGCGCAGAGCTCTGGTCTTCCTGGGTCTCAGATCCAGGGGCTTGTACTTCTTACCCTGAAGGAAATCAAATTGACTTTCAGTGAGCTGAAACACTATTTTATGGGCGGAAAACTTCAGTGAAACGCAAGAAAATGTTTGGCAACTATTAAGATGAAGAGATGTTTGACATTTATCTGAAATATGTGTTGTATAATGAACTTACTTTCCCCGTCTTTACACACCACCCTCGTTATTTTCATTATGACAGTCAGTCCGATAAAGCTTTTCATGGTCTCCCTCCATCCTCATCTCTATTTTAATTGACTCGCCCCAGCAAGTGGCCGCAGACATCATATCTGACTCTGTTGGCTTAAGCCAATGCTGGGTAATAAATGATTTTTTGAATTGGCCTCCAGGGACAAATACATTAGTTTTGAATTTGAATCATTTTATATTTATAATTAGGTCACGTGTGTATTTTTAAGAAATTATTATTTAATCCCAGTGAACATCCACAGTGACATCCATCTTATTTAGAATTCTTGCAGTCAAAGTACACAGTCAAGACATTATGGGAACATTCATGGTAACTCAAGTCTCAGTCTTTTGGTAAGCAGTTGAGAATGCATCAGCAAAACATCAGCTCAACAATATCATCACCGACAAGAGAACCAAAGAGGGAAGACACGTCTGAGTTCAGAATGAAGGCTGCTCTCACCTTGTAGAATTTCCTCAGGTTCTCCTTCTGTGTCTGGTTGATTACAGTCAGGACTCTGGCGATGGACTTACGGACAACACAGCTGTAAAGACAAGCAAAGCCACACATGTGTCAGAGTATACATTAAAATCGGCAGGAAAAAGGGAAATCTGCCATTAAATGGTGACAGTGACAATTTAGGGGTGGCAGCATGACGGTAAGGTCATACCGGCTGTCATTATTTGAGGCTTTAGTATATAGTTGGGTAAAGACAATAGCACCTGAACACCATGTGGTTCATCTGTAGATAAACAGTAGGGGGTAAGTGATCTCAGACTTTTTGACCACACAACTTCATTGTGTAATTCCTCCAGTATTTCCTCCTCGTGTGGAGGAGGAAATGTTTCATGAATCGTATATAAAAGCTACAATACACTGAGCCTGACATCCCTGTATAAGTAGTGTACTAAATAAATCCCATTAACATTAAAAGACATCATTTGTAACCCAGTTGATGAGAATGCAGAAGGTACAGAGCAGGTGAACGGTGCCTATGGACGGCCACAGAACGGCCTCCAGACGTGCTGTTAGCAGCTTCTCACTCAGTACGTACATCTTTGAGAGCTTGGACGCCGCTCCGCCGGTCACTTTGGCCACGCGCAGCTGGGACAGCTCGTTCTTCAGGTCGTCCAGCTGCTTCAGCAGCTCTTCCTTCTTCTTGCCCCGCAGATCTCTAGCCTTGATCTTGGCCTGGACGAAGACACGAGGGGAAACACGTTTGCTGGTGGCGGCACATTCAACTCGCTCATCTCTTAACAGCGCGAGTACAAGTGCCTCACCTCGCTACCGACACGAGCCTAGCACAGCCCGTTAGCGTGTACATGCAGATTAAGCTTTTACTTATTAAATTCTGCCTGACCGACGCTGCGTATCCACGTTATTAATATTCGCAGTTAACCACTCCAAGTATTGACAGAGGCACGTTTCACGTACGTGGTCTATTATTCAATTAAACAGCGATGTTAGCCTACTGGCTAGCTATAGCCTGCTGCATCTTCATTAGCTTACAGTTAGCAACTGAGCGGAGCGGCGTCGGTCGGTACAAGCGCTCTGTAATATAACGTCTTATTCTATTTCTATAGCAGCCTGCTCATCAACACACGTATGAGCGACCATCTAACAAGCTTATGTGTCCGTGTGGCACACATTTGACGGGCTTTAGTGAAGCTGAGCGTGATAAAAATCGAAATCAACAGGAGAGCGTGAGCTCCTCACCATGTTCCCTCTCGCTGCCCTGTTGGAAAGGCCGGACGTACCGCGTGCTCTCAAAAAGTAGCTTCCGGAGAATCTCTTCTTCGTCACTTAAATAGCGCTTTGGAATACAGCAAACAGCGCCACAAGTGGCTAGAGCGGCAAATGGACCACGATGAAGGGCGACAGTGATCAGAAGAGAACAATATCTGATCATGTGCGGGTAAATGCAGTCATTTCTCCTGGTTATGTATTTACTGTATACTAATGTATGCTCTAAACTTATTGTGATGACATGTTTTCATGCACCCCCTCACCCAGGAATAAACACAATGGAAACGTTTCCTTACTATGATAAGAAAAATATTAAAGAAAGCATGAATAAATATTAAAACAATTAATAAAACACAAATGATAATAATGTGAA